CATTGTCTTTAAAATAAATACAGTAATATTTTTTATACTGGTTGATTTGGAAAACTTTGTCACTTAAGGAAAATTACAATTTCAATATTGTATTTTATTTCTACTTGAATTGTCATTGCTGACATTGACATTTGTTGATTTAAAAATGTGTGTAAAAAAATCAAAAAAGTGACTTGAGAGTGTAAATACCTTTTACAATACTGTATTTTGAATTGTGGGTGAAAAAAAAAACTTTGTAGAAAAATAAATAAAGTGAGAAGATGTTAAAACCAGCAATAATTCTAATAACATTCACACATATTTTAATTCATTTTAATATTATTATTCATTAATGTTGCTATGTATAGTTTTTTTTAATTATTATTGTTATATTTATCACTTATATATAATATTTATACTAACAATTTATTCATTTGGATAGTGCCATTTTTGACCCATCATATTGTGGGTGTTTATAGGTCTAGATGGAAAAGGGACCAAATATGGACGGAAACTCAATGCAAAGGTGTAAAAATCCACCGTTTATTTGTTTCATTTTGCCTTTACATTACCAGACTTGTATAACCATTGAACAAATCACCACATAGCTTATAGTTAAAGACATATCCTTTAATACAAGACTGAACTCAAACATAAAGATAAAGATAAAGTAGTGAGCTACTCTATTGGTCAAAGGACTGACTTTTTAGAAGTGAAGTTCATTTAGTCTGATTGTTGCTCTCAACTTCGGACCAACACTGACATCTAGCGTCAAACATGCAGAACTGAAACACACGTTACTTGCACAAATTTACACATAAAAGAATCAGTCAATTAAAATTTAACTGAGTTGAAGACTTAACATATTTTTTTTATAAGAAGTGGTCAAATTCAGACATATGTAAAACAATTAACCACGAATGGGGAAGCGAGTGGACCCGGATGCAGCAACTTGGTTCGGTCCCTGACCCGGAAGTAGTAGAAGTGTTTACAGTTTGAGTCAGCTGACTTCCTTTCACCTGACTGACAGAGTCTAATAGCTTGTAATATGTTCCTGCAGCTATTTATGATACACAAAGGGGTTCCGTTAGTTACTTGTAGCCTGTACTGAGTTGATATCTTCTTCATTCTGACTGAAATCCTTAAATCAGCCCAGTATCCAGTTTAGAGGCTGCTGCATTAGCAGTTTGTTTAGCTAGCAGCTGCTCTAAAGAGTCAAATATCACCAGGGTTTAATTTCCAAAGCAACATTCGGGAGACTTTCTAATGATGGAGAAGATTGCTAAAGGTGAGTTATTGTCCTCCAATTCATGTTTATGTCATTTCCTTTTCTAGACCACACCATGCTTTATTAGTTGGGCTAATAAAGCAGATAAATTTGCTAATGCCTAACTCCTTTCTTCTGTGATGTGTTTTCAGGATCCCACACATAGAAATATGTGTAATTTTGCTGTATTTTTTTTTTATGTGTGTAAACTGTATTTACTTGTTGATTCTGCAGATGTTGGTGACATCCAGTCCAGAATGTTGGACCACAGGCCTGTTATCAGTGCAGAAGTTCGCTACTTTGTCAGAGAGTTTGAGGTGGTTTAACCATAACATTGATGCAGCCTATCAAATGCTTTTTAGTGGTCACAAATGTTAACACTGCTGGGCTTTTCAAACCAATCAGTTGGCTCATACACTGCTGTCTATACATTAAATTAAACAAATGCAGATTGGTTTGTATTTTTCTCCGCGGCTCTTCAGGAGAAGCGAGGCCTGAGGGAGATTCGGCTTTTGGAGAACCTGAATAAAACGGTGCAGGAGACAAACGAGCAAATGCTGCCCGCTAATTTACAGGAAATGAGCCAGAAACTGTCTGACATCAGTAAGCGCTGTAAGTAACTTCCGCATGACCATTTATAACTTGTTCCAATCACAGTGGATCTTTTGCTATTACATGATTATGAGCTGTTTTCATTCTCTCTTTTTTCCCCCTCAGTGGAGGCTGCTAATCATATGGCAGAGAGAGTCCAGCAGAGGGAGCTAGAGGCCCAACAGGTAAAGACGAAGGATAACCACAACTTTGCATTGGATTGAGACGGTCTGACCTTACTGTTCAGTTCTGTTTTAAAGTCAAGAGGTGATTTTCTTGAAGTATTTACCAAAGTTTTATCATCGTGGCCTTCCAGAGCACCCAGCTGCAGGCGAACATGGAGAAATTGAAAGAGGACTGGGCGGAGTTTCTGAAGGAGCAGCAGAGACTAAAGGAAGAGGTGGATGAGGAGCACGCTAAGGCTGTCGGAGAAATCAGCACTCGCTTTAGTGAAAAGAAGAAGGACTTGGTGCAATTTTCTCTCTGATCGCTTTTCTATTGTATCAACACTTTCTTAAATATATGGCAAACTGTTCAGCAAACTTCTTGCACTTAAGAGTTGGCAGAAAAACATTAGCGAGTGTTAATGAACAGATGATCATATTTGAACTTGGATATCGGTGACATTTCTGCAATGTGTGAACTACGTCACTCTCTGCAACACTTCTGATGATAAGTTGAGCTCAAGTTGACAGGAAGCCTAAATTTAGACCATAGTGAGCACATTCTAAATAATACATGATTACGGTTAAAATTCTATGTAGAGCTAAACAATTTGTAGATATTTTCCTCCTAATGCTGAATTTAGTTGGACTTGCTACGTGAGACAAATGTCCTCAATATCATGCTTTTTTATTTAATTGTAAAATGTATTCTGTATGTCAAAAATTAATTTTGTGTTGCTGTGTTTAGTGTTAAGATGCATTTATAATTTCACCATTTGCAGCATAGTGCATTTGACTTGATTTGATACATTTTCAATATGATAATAAAAATACACTGAATTAGAAAAGTATTTGTTTTACTAAAAGTCAAACGCTATAGCAAAATAAGACATGGGAACAAAATCAAAATATGAAAATATAAAGAAAGTATCCAATCGTCCTGCAGCAGACTGTAAAGAGTCTCTTAACTCTTAAAAAAAACATAATACAGCACATAACCAGTTTAGGTAGTTCAGAAAAACTGAAGATTATTGTTTAAAAATTAACTCAAAGAGCTCAACTTTAAGAGACACATTCTGTGGTAAAAAGTTATCCCTGTATTAACATGTTATTTTGTTTGATTGAACAGGTTATATAGATTTTATGCTAAAGAATAGAACATCAGCACTTTCACTACCTGGTGCGAAATGCAAAGAACTTAGCAGGCTATGCAAAGACTTTTCAGAGAGCAAGAAGCCTAAAAGAGGATCATTTTATGAAGGAAAAAAAAATGAAATGGAGCACAAAGATGATTGTCTTTTAAATTGACATTTTATATATATATATAAAAAAATAGACATATTGTTTTGCTCCAAATGTATAAGCTAGTTTTTCTTCACTTGAGCGTAGAGATCCTCTGAACGATCAGCAGACACTTTGACCGGAGCGTACACCGTCTCCTGCTGTTGTCTGTCCTCCACTGAGACGGCGGAGGCTGCAGGTCTCCTCGGGAGGAAGTTCACTTCACCATAGTGGATTTCTTCGTCTGGCTTCTTCTCTGGAGTTTGAACCTCCATCTCTGTATGAGTCTGAGGGGAAAATGACAATTATGTTTCACACAGATGGAAACACTAACGTAACAGATGCAACTCACTACAGTGCTGCACATAAAAGTTGAACATTTACTCACCAGAGTCTGTTGTGCAGATGGATGTTTGAACTTAAACCACCTGGAAGACATTAGACATCTGTGAGCATCTTTATGATACATCTCAGGAGAAATGAAAAGACGCAAACTGATTTGAGGCAAATATTAGAGGATTAATGAATATATAAAATCACCAAAACAAAGAAAGGTCTGGGCAACTATTTTTTTCTTTTACAGAGATCAAGTTTCAGTTGTACACAAAAAAGGGAAAAAATTAACAAACAAAAATGTGCACCTCTCTACAATGCCACGTAAAGATATCAACAAAGAATATTTTTCTCTGTACCATCCACCTTGCTTATATTAATTTATTTGCTATAAAGGAAGAGTCACCTGATGCAGAAACAAGCTTGAATTTTGCAAAGACTTCAGGGTTGATTGCATTATTTCATTGTCTTCTATTCTCTCAAAAATGTGGGATTTTTACATCATTAAATATGACAAGTTCTAATTAGCATTTAATGCATATCCCTGCTATTTAACACAAACTCTATATTTAGTGATAATACACAATGATAAAATCCTCAAATTTTATCAAGCATATATTCTGCATGAAACAGATGATGACTAAATGCTAACAATGATAAAACTTAAACATGTTCATCATCTAAAACGCATCAATTGATGACACTCACCAAACACAGATCACCAGGCAGATCAGCAAAATGACACCGATTGATGCAAGTAGTGCAGTCCAAAACGAAACGTTCCCTGCTGCAATAAAAGACAAACTACGTGAGTCCAAGGAAAGAAATTGGGATTATAAAAGAGGAAGTACAAATTATATGGAGATTTGTTACATAGAATTTTAGAGAAATTTAATAAATGTTTCCCGTTGAGTATCTTTTAATACCAGTTGTGAATTACCTTCATTGATAACTAGGATCACAGATGATCTGGTTTGACCCAGATGATTTGTAGCCACACAGTGAAACTCTCCTCCCTCAGTAGCGTTGATTATGTAAACCTGCTCCACAGACACATTAGTGGCTCCATCTTTGCTGATACTGAACCAGGTGAATCTGGGTGGAGGTTTGGCTCTGCTGGAGCAGCTCAGCTCCACCCAGCTACCTGCTGACACCAAACCTGATGGACTGATGGATGCTGAGGTGTTTCTAGGAGCATCTGAGGAAAATGAGACACATGAACTTTATTGATCAGAAACAGATGAATTATGACCTGCTGACAGGATCACTTACATGAAACACTGAGAGTCGCTTCTGTCTCTGCTGTCTTGCTTCCTCCAATCACAGGATATCTGGCAGAACATCTGATGTTGTATCCATCATGTGTGTCTGACAGAGTGATGGTCTCCTGGATTTTAGTTGTAAAGGTTCCATCTGTGTTTTCCTCTGTTTGTCTGAGAGAGTCTTGTTGGAGATTCCAGGTGAGTTGAGGAGGTGAGTGTGGACAGGGAGTGAAAGCTGAGCAGGTTACAGTGACAGACTGATGCTCCTTCAAATCGCTCAGATCAGGTTCAATTCTGGGTTTTTCAGGAGAATCTATTATTTCACATTAAACACAAATAAATTAGCATAACACAATAAATATGATGTAGAATACTTTCCCGATTAAAACTGCAAAACAACAATTTTTGAAGGAACTAATGATCATGTGACCAAAGATTTATTTTCCTAAGCAGAGAAATATCATGTCATTTTGTACTTTCTTGTGTCCCATCATTATGTGTTACCATGTTGCTAACAACTCACTAAGTAAGGACATTCATTAATTTATTTATTTTTAGATAATTGCCCAGGAAACATCCTATGACTGTACAACTCTGGATTTCACATAAACAGTCAAAAAACCAAAAAACAGTCCTAATTTTCTCTGACACTTTTAACTGTTTACAGCCTCCATGTAATTGATTTTTTTTTCTACGTTTCCTAAAACTCAGGACAAAGTAAATAACTGACTGGTGATCAATTTCTACATATGTCTTAAGACAAAACATTTAACACAAGTTTTTAACATGTCAATGATTAGAGTTAGAGGAATTATAATTTAACATGGGACCCAGGTATCTGTAGAGGGGTATGAATACATGTTTAAGCTCCAGTTTAAGAGATCAGGAATATGTGGAAAAAGCTGTGACTCAGTAGTTTAGATAAGTACAACCAACTGGGACAAACTGGACACGACTAAAGCAGATAAATGACCAGCTAATCTTCCTGTGCATTTGAAATCACAAAGACATGATTCCTCTATATTGTTCTGAACAGCATTTAAACAATGTGTCTTGATAATAAAGAGCATCAACTGAGTACATATTTAGGACTCCAATAATACAATGTGTCAGAAATGTATCTATTTAGGGCAAGTAAATAACTATGTACTAAATCACTATGTTTATATTGTCTGACATTATTCTAAAGTATAAATTAGATCTGAAGATTAGATCATTGTCCTTTGCCAGCCTGCAGTGACCCTTGCTTGACCTGTAAATACCTGCCTAAAATTTTGTTTTAGTAAAAATAAAATTGGCTGAAGCCATTAGAAAAAAAACAGCCAGAAAGTTTCGATTCTGCTTTTAGTTAAGGCATCTTTTCCAATGTGATTAAGCATTTATTCATGCATTAATATTTACTGCAGAGTCGATGAAAAAAGGATGTGTGAAACCTGACTGTAAATTTGATCTGAAATGATCAGAAACACCAGAATAACTATTGGGTTTCATATAAAGTATAAAAACCCCAAAATGCTTCAAGGTCATACTTCAGAAGATTTTGTCTTTATGAACAAAAACTGAACATGTGTCTTCAGAATTTAATGATATTGGACCATAAACTATACTGTATTATAGAATATAAAATAAACATAAAATATAAAGATAAACAGGTAAAATGAAGGTTAATTAAATCAAAGTCAGGACCAATTTATTTCTATAACTTTGTGAAGGTGTGCAGAGTAAAAGTCTTACCTTGAACTTTTATCTGAAGAGAAGCAGAACAAGCTGTTGCCTTGTATTCACCTCTCTGGACTCTGAGGAAGTATTTGGTTTCTTGTGTTGTCTTGATACCAGAAAACACAGTGGTGCAGTTTTTCTGATTTATGTTTCCAACAATATTTATTTCATGGTTATTAACTCCCTGACTGATGTCAAAAATACTCTTAGTACTTGGAATCCATTTGGCAGAGGCTTTTCCTCCATTGTTAAAATCGTTTTCTCCTTTTTGAAAAGTGAAGCTACATGGGACATGCAAACACGATCCACTCAGTGCTTCAATGGGATTTGGTGCTTTAATGACAAAGCCCACTGTTTGACGACGACAAGGTTCAGCATTAACACCTGTAAAAACAGACTATAGATGAACATAATGTGGAGCAAAATCTGTCAGCAGAGAAACTTCATGATCAACAAACTGCAGTTCAGCTGCATCATGTTACTTATAGAGCATTTCAGCAAAGTCAGAATCAAATATTTTAGACTAAAATTAAACAAGTAATCCCCTAAAAACAAGGAAATGAAAAAAGAGCTCACCAGGAAGAAAGAAGACACTCAGTAACATGATGACTGTCGACATGTTCTCAGACAGACTCTGATAGTCGTCTTTCATCTCTCAGACCTAAAACAAAATGGAAACAAGTCAGTCAAGCAAAACTGTTATTTAGATTATATACTTGTGTGGAAAAGAAAGTGTAATTTTAAATAAAGAAGGCAAACTTTATTATAACAGAACATCAGAGAATTTGGACTTTAAACATTATTTAACTCATTAACTCAAAACCTTTTCAAGTGGAACATTTTTAAGCACAGAGTATTAAAACATTTTCAAAGTTATAACATTTAAGAAAAATAAATCATTAACAATAACATTTTCTTACCAATTTACCAGTAAATTTAAATCTTCAGTTAAATCTTGAATTTCACTCAATCAGCAGCAGATCATAAAACCATCCACTCTGTTAAAAAGCTGCAGTTATATAAAACCAAGTAGCTGCATTTATCCTTCCTCCTTTTTTGAAAGGGGATGTCAGAACATCTTCTGCTCTTCAAAGTGTGACTCGTTTAACGTCAAGACGTTCACAGTTCTTCCTTAAACTGTCTGCTCAAAGGGAGCGAGAGTGTTCATGCAAGTTGCAGAGCTAGTTTCTAAGATTAAATGATTATATTTAACTTAACTTATCTTTGCATAAAACAATAACTATGTTTAGGGAAAAGGAGACTCTCAGACTTCATGGCGTTTTGGTGAAATTTTCTCTTGGGTTTTAGATTAGATGCACATCCTAAGTTTCTGGTTTATTTCTCTTTTCATCATTTGAGAATCAATGCCAGACTAAAATAAATTCTCTCCCAACCTGAGCTGGAAATAATCCTCCATGCTTTTATTCCACTCTGGTCAGGTTGGTGTAAGGCAGTGTTAACATGTCTCAGGAAGACCTGCAAAGGTTGCAAGTAGTTCAGAATGTTGATGATGAGATTCTGATTAAATCCACATGTTGCCCCATTTCTGACAAGCATGGATGCTAAATACTAAAACTCCTTGTTTAAAAATAAACCAACTTCCTCTGTTTACTTCAAATGCTCCTCTTTTTCTCAGTTTATCTTACTGAACAGCCTCAGTTCAAATGAAAACAATATATATGTTATGCTATTTGTGAGTCATCAGAAATAGAAATACATATATAGTTTGGCATGGCAGGAAACGAGACTTCAGTCTATCACCTATGAACAGACGAACTTCTGTTTTCTCCACTTGACCTGGACTTCCTGTCGTGGTTCAGAGCCTCAATAGAATTAAAAGAAGACATAAAATTATAAAGTGTAGATAAATGTGAAATACAATCACTGAAATCAAAGTGACATTACGACTGAACTGCTGCAGGCTGCTGGTATCTTAATAGATTAGAACAAGATTTGCACTGCTCTCTTAGACCATCACACATACAGGTTAACAGGCCACACTTATAAGTCATTTGTTGTGAGCATGTGTGTGTGTGTGTGCGTATGTGTGGTTGCATATTATGTGTGTCTCTTTGCTGGTCCTGTCACAGACTGGTGGATTGTACAAGATGTACCTACTGTATTTAGATGGCTGGTTCAACGTTGTGGTCAGGATTTTTTTCAGTGTTATTCTCTGAACACACACAAACTAGGATCATTTAACTGCTAATCTCTTTGTTTTGTAATAAAATAATTCACTTCATTGTGTCGCGTCAGAAATATGATGTTTTATTTTGGCACAATATGACTTCAGAAGTGGAAATAAATAAATAAATAAATAAATAAATAAATAAATAAATAAATAAATAAATAAATGTATTTGTGCAAACAGCAGATCATTTTTAACTTTAACAGAAAAGATCTTCATCATTGATACCTGTATCATCATGAGATCATCATTAGTTTGGTCTTGGTCTATTTCTATGCATCCATCTTTTTATGCATTAATAATTACCGTGATAGAAATGCAAGAGAGTTGATGTGTAGCAAAGTTTTTGTCCTTGTTCTGATGCTGAGATCGTGAGAAAGAGGAAACGGCTTTTGTCTCATCTTTTTGTGACATCAAGGATGACGTTTAGGATACGACTCATTGTTATCCACTTATAATCTTGCACAGCGTACTGTTATTATTGTTATAGTTGTTGCTGTTTTTGCTAATTATGTTTATGTTTTTAACACTTGGAACTTTTGTGTGAACCGATATAACTTGATGCTGCTGTTGCACCTTAATTTCTCCACTGTGGGCCAATAAAGGATCTATTACTCTTTGTGAGGATTTGAGTTTTCTGTGTGTTTATTTCGAGGTTTTTGTTCTTGTGAATCTCTGTGTTGTCCTGCCTACCCCTTGATCATTCCCAGCTGTGTCTAGTTTCCCCGATTACCTCCTTGTGTATCTAAACCCACCCATCTTCTTTGTCTGTTGTCGGGTCCTCGTCCTGTATGCCGTATTCGTCCGTTTCCCTGTGCTGCCACTATTGGACTGTATTATTTTGGATTCTTCATTAAATAATCTTTTCATCTTCTACACCCTGGGTCAGTCTGCGTTCATCCTCACCTCATCATCCATAATCGAGACACTATTATGTTCTACTGTCTGCTTAACAGCAGATTTAATGTTTAGACATCTTGGATAGAAAAAATTATTTAGTACAAATGATTTTTGTCGGCTGTGGTGGGAAAATCATCGTACAAAAAAATAACAGTCAGCGTTACTAGACAGAAGGAAAATAACGGTTAACATAGTTTAGAGACGAGAAAACTGCGAGTGATTGCAACAGAGTCCTGAAACACAAAATAACCAAAGTCTTTTTACTTCAACTTCTCAGATTCCTCTCAGTATTTGCACAACTGTCTTTTTTTTAGATTATACTACTTTTCTATTACACACTCAGTCTGCTTAAGAGGTCAAAGTCATTAAAATACACTACTTTATACTTTTCAAGATATAAACTTTATTAGTTGGACATTGTTCTGACTAATAAAGTCAGAACAACGTCCAACCTGCAACATTTTTTCATCAAAATTCAAAGTGACTCACGAAGTTCAAGTGAGGCTTCACGTTTTGCAGTTTCAATTCTCTTTATTGCATATTGTCATCTCTGTGGATCCAAAAACACAACAATCTTCTCACACGTTTTACAAAGATGTAGGATGAATAATCCCAGACAGCAACTAAATTTGGCACAATGTTAAATTTGAATTCATGATCCAAAATGAAGTGTAAATTCTCCTTAAATGGGCCAAAAACTCTTAGACCTTTTCTCTTATGTGAGATAAAGTATTCTGATTATGATCATAACTCTCCCTTTGTTATCAGCATCATCATCTTTAACATGAAATTATTTTCTGGTTGCTTTATGAGAGACTGCTAATTGGATTTGAAGACTAAAAGAATCATTCAGGTATTTTCCCAAGAGTTTACATATTCTCATCTTAGGTTCTGTAAAGTTTCTTATAAATTTTGCTCCAGGGGTTATTGACTTCATTTTATATTTAACTTCACATTTGCATTAAAAAAATGTATGATTGCTAAAACAGTTTCTTTAAAAACTCAGTTGAATGAATAAACCCTGAACAATGAACAATGAAATATGAATTCTAAGATCTTTGCCTTTTATTTATTAAACTTTTTATTTTGTGTCTTCTAATGCAGAAAAAGCTGAATTTACAGCATTGCAGAATTTTTTTTTCTGAACAACATTTAATTGCTTGGATGATTTAGCTAAATAAAACATTACAAATTACTATAAAAAAATAACACCTTTACAGACAAAACGGGATGAAGAAATATAAAAATCTCATGATGCCTGAACCTCCATCACTCTGTTAGGATCGTCTGCTTCTTCGGTGACCTGCAGAGATCAAACAACAAAGAAATATTATTGCTCTTCATGAAATGTACTACTTATTTTTAATGGGTTTGGAAAACATATTTCAATAGTTGATTTTTAGGAGACATGTTTAAAACCTGCTTCAAGGTTGGTATTTTCTAAAAGTACTTTTAATTTGACAAACCAGCCTCATCACAACACATGCTCTAATTCCAGTTTACCTACAATATTGTGCAAAAGGCCTGGCTGTCCACACAACAACCACACATTTCAGCAGAAAGTAAAAAGATCCATTTACATGTAAATCTGCCAAGAGTCTGAATATTTGAAGGCTTAACTTCACATTGAGCTTGGTTAGTTTACCTGTATCAGTCTCTTGGAGAATCTGAAACAGCTGAAAATGAATGAGACAAGATTAATATCAGTGAATAATCAATACAACAGGTGAGCATCCTCAAAGTATGAACTCATAGAAAACTCTCTCACCACTCAAAGATGATGATTGCACCACAGAGCATTACCAATCCTAGGATCTTTATTTTAGTGTAGATACCAAGTCCAGACCCTTGATGAAAACAAAATTTATCATGAAATATTGAATTAAACTAAGATTAAATGTTGCCAGAGTTTATTTAAAGTACATGAATTACATTTATCCTTGACATACTTTAAGTGTTTTTGAATACATTTCAGTGAACAGGTTAGCTGCAGAGTAATACGTTTCTATATCTTCCAGATTGATCATTTGGAGTCTGTAAACCAAGATACATAACTGGCTCAATGTTTGCTGTTCATCAATGAAGTAAAGCTGCTGAGGGAAAACTTTGTTCTGGAGCAGCTCAGTTTACATCAGCTAACATGAAGAATGAATAGTTATATGGACTCAGTTGAAAGGCTGTGGTCCAACACTTTTAATACCAGTTGTGAATTACCTTTAATACCAACAAGCATCACAGATGATCTGGTTTGACCCAGATGATTTGTAGCCACAAAGTAGTACTCTTCTTCCTCAGTAGGATTTATTTTGTAAACCTGCTCCACAGACACATTAGTGGCTCCATGTCTGCTGATCCAGAACCAGGTGAATCTGGGTGGAGGTTTGGCTCTGCTGGAGCAGCTCAGCTCCACCCAGCTACCTGCTGACACCAAATCTGATGAACTGATGGATGCTGAGGTGTTTCTAGGAGCATCTGAGGAAAATGAGACACATGAACTTTATTGATCACAAACAGCTGAACCATGACCTGCTGACAGGATTACTTACATGAGACACTGAGAGTTATTTCTGTCTCTGCTGTATTGTTTCCTCCAATCACAGGATATCTGGCAGAACATGTGATGTTGTATCCATCATGTGTATCTGACAGAGTGATGGTCTCCTGGATTTTAGTTGTAAAGGTTCTTTCTGTGTTTTTCTTTGTTTGATTGAGAGAGTCTTGTTGGAGATTCCAGGTGAGTTGAGGAGGTGAGTGTGGACAGGGAGTGAAAGCTGAGCAGGTTACAGTGACAGACTGATGCTCCTTCAGGTCAGAGGGAACATTAATGCTGGGACTCCAAGGAGAATCTGGGAATAACAATACATGAAATGACAAAAAAAAAGAGAAAAAAGAACTGATGAGAAGAGTTCGACAGTAAATGGATCCAAATATGATTTGCTGCAAATCTTCTGCATAGATTTATCAGCCCACAAGGAGGCTCCCAAGAGCTCTTATTCCTATATAAGTTAGAGTTACAAATACATAACAGCACAAAGAAAAGCCTACATAGTCATATTAGTAGTTTGATTGTATTGAACATAGAGTAATAAAAGTGTTTTTCTCTGTTTGATTGAAAGAGTCTTGTTGGAGAGTCCAGGTGAGTTCAGGAGGTGAGTGTGGACAGGGAGTGAAAGCTGAGCAGGTTACAGAGACAGACTGATGCTCCTTCAAATCGCTCAGATCAGGTTCAATTCTGGGTTTTTCAGGAGAATCTATTATTTCACATTAAACACAAATAAATTAGCATAACATAAAAAAATTAGGTGGAATATGTTCGCAATCAAAACTGCCAAACAACAAATTGTTTGAATGAAGTAATGAGCGTCTGATGAAAGACTTATTTTCTTAAGCAGAGAAATGTCATGTCATCCTGTACTTTCTTGTGCCCCACCCAGATGTGTCGTAATGCTGCTAACAGTTGAGTAAGTAGTATTTAGTATCTCGAGCATTTACAGACTAAACAAATGCCCAGGAGAGCCACCCAATAACAGTACAACTCTGGAACCAGCAGAGCAATCCATTCTTTTATAACTGTTATGTCACTTGCAGTGAAAATGATTGAAACATGTAAAATCTCAACATGCAACTGAATGCATTTGGTAACGTGGTTTAAACATACAAAATGCACAGAAAAAAGAAAAGTATGTTGGTGCTTGTAGACACAACTACTAATAAAAATGCTGGTATCAGTGAGTTGTCAGTAAGATGAAGCTGGATTTAATGTAAAAAACAATATAGTAAGGAGCGAAGTAAAGGTCTTACCTGTGACTGTTACTGAAAGAGGTGTAGTACAAGCCGTTCCCATGTAGTCACTGTTCTCTATTCTGAAGAAGTAGCTGCCTTCTTCACTTTTATTTATATTAGAAAACACAGTGGTGCAGTCTTTTAGACTCAGGTTTCCAGTAATTTGTATTGGGTAGGTATTAACTCCCTGACTGATGTCAAATATATTCTTATCACTTGGAATCCATGCCCCAGAGGTTTCTGCTTCATTTTTAAACCTTGTCTCTTTGTTGTCCAATCTAAAGCTGCACTGAACTTCCAAACACGATCCACTCAGTGCTTGAGTCTGACTTGGTGTGGTGACGAAGATGTTTGCCGTACTTTTACCACATGCCCCACAGGCACCTGTAAAAACAGACAAATATCGAACATCAAAGGTCCTGATCTACAAACTCTAGAGTAGCATTAGTATGTTACATAAGGAACCTTCACACAATTACAGGATTTAATATTTCACAATATAAATGATTCATGTGATGTCTCCAAGTGGGAAGGGAAGCAAACAAACATCTCACCTGGAAGAAAGAAGACACTCAGTAACATGCTGACTGCCAACATGGTCTCAGGCAGAGCCGCCATCAGACTCTTGCACTCTTTCATCCGTTCATTGACAAAACAATAAGTCAATAAACAAAACTGAACAGCAAAAAGCATTTAGAATGTCTCATCAAGTAAATACTTGAATCGAACTTTGCATCAACATGACACAATCCTGCAAAGGACG